AACGAGGGTTAAGTGGAGGGAGAGGGGGGGAGGGGAGGGATGGGTGAAGGGGGGGAGGGAGGGCGGAGGAGGAGGGATGGGTGAAAAGGGGGGGGGGAAGGGAGGGATGGGTGAAAGGGGAGGGATAGGGAGGGAGGGGGAGGTTGAAGGGATGGGTGAAACGGGGGGGAGGGAAGGGGGGGTGGAGGGGGGATAGGGAGGAGGGAGGGGTGAAAGGGGGGGAGAGGGTCCTGTCGTGGTGTGAGGCCATGGTCATCAAGGCTCGGTGGGTGGAGGGGAGGGAAGGGAGGGGGATAGGAGGGAGGGGAAGGGAGGGGTGAGGGGAGGGGATAGGGAGGAGGGGGGATGGGTGAAAGGGGGTAGGGGAGGAGGGATGAAAGGGTTAGGGGGATAGGGAGGAGGAGAGGATGGGTGAAAGGGGGGAGAGGAGGGGTAGGGAGAGAGGGGGAAGGAATGGGTGAAAGGGAGGGGGATAGGAGGAGGGAGAGGGGGAGGGGATGGTGAAAGGGGGGGGGGAGGGAGGAGGGATGGGTGAAAGGGGGAGGGGAGGGGGAAGGGATGGGTAAAGGGGATAGGGAGGGGAAGGGAGGAGGGAAGGGAGGGAAGGAGGGATAGGGAGGGAGGAGGGATAGAGGAAAAGGGGGAAGAGGGAAGGAAAAGGGTGAAAGGGGGGGAAGGGAGGGAGGAGGATAGGTGAAAGGGGGATTGGGAGGAGGGGAGGGAGGGGAGTGGGAAGGATGGGTGAAAGGGAAAAGGTACGGAGGAGAGGGGAGGAAAGGGAAAAGGGGAGGAAGGGTGAGGGGAGAATTGAAAGAAGTAGGAAGGAGTGTTGAAGGGAGAGGAAAAGGATGGAGGGAGAATGGAGAAGGGTGATGATTGGGAGGGGAGGAAGGGTGAACGAAGGGGGGTAGGGAGTTAGGGAAGAGAGAAAAAAAAAGAGACGAGAGATGGAAAAAAGAAAGTGACAAAAAAAAAAAAACCCAAAAAAGCTTGAACTATAACAGAAAAGGAAGATAGATGACCTGACACTCCACCTCGCCCCCCTCAGATCGCCGACCGCCTGGCCAAGTTCGACACAGCCATCGCACTCCAGACGGATATAATGGTCAACAACATCCTGGGACGAGGCATCGACATCCACCTGCTGGGCCTGAGAGAGATGGCCAAGGAAATGGGCCTATCCACGCCCGAGATCTTCAGCCACAGGTCATACCAGGTGTCAAACCACTTCCGGCTTTCGACAAGCCAGGTGAGTACCCGAGAAATGTCGTTTAAGGATTTGCAGGAAGGAAAATGACATAAATAAACTGGTTTAGAGTTCAGATCCACCATTGACAGCGGAAAACGAAACTTAAAGAGGTGGTTTTAACGTTGTAGATCATGACTGAGAAGTATTTGATAATTAATCCTTTATAAGCTTGCACTTTCAGGTTCTTTCGGTACAACTAACGACTGAAAGGAATTCGATAAGCCAGTCTTTTACGAAACTCTCTGTTCCTCGCAGGTTCCCACGCTCTCTGACTCCTGGATGGGCTACGGCCCGGTGGTTCCCGACGGCTACGGAGCCTCCTACAACCCCCACCCGGACTACATCGTCTTCTGTCTCTCTGCTTTCAAATCCTGCGAAGAGACCTCGACTCTGGAGTTCGGACGCGGCCTCGAGAGGGCCCTCGACGAAATGAAGTCGCTCTTGGAAGCCAGGCTCAAATAGGCCGATTTATCTACACTTTTCCTTTTTTATTTAAGTCTGCGATGAAATGCGCGGATACGTTTTCTCTGATCTAAAGGATGGTTGTTGATACTTGAATCCTGTGTTCTAGACGAACGCTTGTTAAGTCCAGGCAAGTTAGCCATGTGCCACTATATTCTATCGTGATCTTGTTACCAAAGATATCCAAGATATCTATAAAATATTAAATTTTTACGGAAAATTGTCTACTAGTTTTCTCAGACGATGATTACGAAAAAAAAAATAATAGAAATATTGTTAGCAAATGATCATTGTCGAGTTTATACGAAAGGATCTCATATGGAAATGCACATATCTTTAGCTTTAGGATTGTTGATAATCATAGAATATATGTCCTCGATATAGTTGGTGTATCCAGAGTATATTGTCACTCGAGTATTTCGGTTTTCGTTGTTTTTGGCCGCATCTGTAGGGACTGTCTCTGCCGAGCAAATGCTAACTAGTCTTAAGAGAGGAGAGAATCGTCGTCATATTTTTGTATTCTCTTGATTCCCTCCTTTAAAAAAAAAAAATGCAATAAATACGAATAATAAAAAAAAAACAATAGGAAGGAGGAAGAAAAACAAAATGACACTGTAATACAAAATACTTAAGTTTAGTTACCTGAATGTTTTCCTAAATGTTTTGCATAATTATGATTTACATTTCATTCTGATTTTGATACAGACTTCGGTCCGTTTCATCAGCGACATCACTGTAAGGTCAAAGAAATTAGATTTCACATTCTTTGTTTTAGATTAATTTTATCTG